CAGGTAGAGAGTACTTTACCATGAGTACCTTCTGGGGGCAGCTGGGGACTGTACAGCTTGCCCAAGGCCTCATGGGCTGGGTCTACTTGCTGGAGGCACAGTGGGGGAATCAAACTCCGAAGTACCTTCTGGGGACAGCTGGGGACTGTGCAGCTTGCCCAAGGCCTCATGGGCTGGTTCTACTTGCTTGGAGGCACAGTGGGGGAATCAAACTCCCAACCTCTGGTTCTGCAGCCATGTACCCAAACCACTGAGCTACCCAGCCAGTGCATGTTTATGATTTACTAATTAGGCACAGCTAAATAATTGGATATTTCTCCCAGGTTATAAAAAATGTTTCCAGTGATGAATGCATAACTCATAAGGTTGCAGCACCTTAAAGATGACTATTTTTCAATGTGAGCTTTCATGGATACATCCACTGATTAGGACAAGTAAGCTCACATTAAAATATGTTAGTCTTTAAAGTGCCACAGTATTCTTAGTTTTTGTTGGTTGCTTATATTTTTGTCTGGATATGCTTGCGCAGACTAATGCGGCCACTTCTTTGAAACCTCAGACAAGATAACAAGCTACTGGTCTACTGCAAATTAGTAAATGTCGAACTAGTGACTTCGAAATGCTTCTGAAAATGATACAGGCCCTTTGCTTGATTTTTAGTCAGGAAATGTATCTCTCATTAATAGGGGGTGCATGACCTGAAGATTTTTTTTTAATTTCAAAAATTGTTGTTGTTACATGTCATCAAATTGCGTCCATCTTGTGATGGCCAATGAATGAGTGACCTCCAAAATATCCTGTTCTCAAAAATTAAAAGTCATTTTGCTGCATGCACAACTATGTATTTTTATAAGATGTTGGGATCATTTGTGGCCACATAGTTTAATGAGGTTCCCTCACTTTCCACATCTGATTTTTTTTTCAAAAAATAATCTGCTTCTTAAAAAAAAAGCAGTTAAAATGTCTTAAAATGTATAAACCACCATTCTACAAGCATCCCAGGGTGGCGGGCAAAAAACATTACATAATTCAGTTTGCCACTATGAGAACTGGATTCAATCAACTACTTAGCTCTTTGGTCTGATCTAGCAAGGCTCTTCTTAAATATCTGGGCCCTGAGCAATTGAAGTATTTTAAGAATGATAAAGGCCATTTGGGGTACAGCAGGCAATAGAATTTCTGAAGAGTTGGTGTGACATGGCTCAATCTGAGTAAACTCTTTTAAATTCTAATAGCTGAGCTTCACTCAGTTTGAAGCTTCCAAACCACTTCAAGGGCAACCCAATGTGTAGAACATTGCAGTAATCCCATCTGATTACCAGTGGTTGCAGTAATGCACAAAAACTGTTTCTGTCCAGGAAAAGTCACAGATGAACCATCTGAAGCTGATAAAATATACTCCAAGCCACCAAGAGCATTGGGATATCTTATTGTTACATTAGTCTCCCTCCTCTCAGATCATAAGCAAAAGATAGACCCACTTGTTTTGGGTTAGTGCACATGCATGCATAAGAGCTTCTCAGACCCAGGAGCTTCCTACTTTCACTACCTACCTTTTGTCATGATTCAACTTCAGATTATTGGCCCTTATCCATCCCATTGCCAACAGCAGACTCGCATGATTCAAATGATCACTTTGGGGATCCTTGTGGACAGAAAAGTGATGAATACTATATATAGGTTGGGAGTGTGTATGGTGTGTGCATAAGAGAGATACCAGATGACAAAGTTGGGAGTCATTGGCATGTTGGTGGCATCTTACTGCACAGCTTGACTTGTCACCTGTGTGGTTAATACAGTAAATTCATCTGTTCTCTCTCTCTCTCTCTCTCTCTCTCTCTCTCTCTGCATGTGTGTGTGTGTGTGTGTGTGTGAATCAATCAACTGTTTATGCTTCGTAGTTACGTTTTGAGGGCACAAGAACTATACACAGATTTTGAACTATGGGGAGGGGGCTGGCATTGTTGAAGGGAGGAGTGTATAATCTAAATTTAGATCCTTTCAGGCATATGATGCACCACATGAATTGCTCACAACAACAGCTTAGAGAGGAGTGCTTTTAATACCTTTGATGGAACAAGTCGCCCAGATAAATTCCTCCAATGGGGACTTTTGAATTCTTAAATCCACTGAAATGTCACACATAAGAATTTTAATGCTGTTGTGCTACTGATGTGTAACTGTTTGTTGCAAGCAAGCCCTTGAGTGTATAGGAAGATGGTTGTTGTGGGTTTTTCGGGCTTTTTGGCCGTGTTCTGAAGGTTGTTCTTCCTAACATTTTGCCAGTCTCTGTGGCCAGCATCTTCAGAGGACAGCACTCTGAAGATGCCGGCCTTCAGAACATGGCCAAAGACCCCGAAAAACCCACAACAACCATTAGATCCCGGTTGTGAAAGCCTTCGCGAATACATTGTATAGGAAGAGTTATGGAAACAGAAAGCTCCATAGAAACTATTGAACTATATGTGACAATTAGCAGCAACAGTGAGACTATCAGATATATCCAACACATTCTGTATTGCTGTTAGCTCATACTTTAATATGCAAAGAAACACATCCATCCAATTTCAAAATGCAATGTGTGAATTGGTTGTGATACTACTTGTAAAGACCAACCACATGTATATTAATAGAATTTGGAAACCCTGCAACCTCTTTCTTTCTCTTGCATATGCACATAAAACTAGGGGTGAGGGGAGCAGCAGGAATGTTTTGTAAAATGCAATTTTTATCTCACTCGTTCTTTGAAGGAAGGCAACAAACAGCTTAGCCTAGTGCTGTGACTGAAAACAATGGAATACAAACAGGTCAAGTGGCAGAAAGAAATCCCTCTTTCCTACCAAGAGGCCCTGGCTTGAAACAGTAAAATGCAAGCAAGGCATAATCGTTGAATATTTTTGATTTTGTGCAAATAAAATGATACCAGTGCCCATAGCTTCTAGCAAAATTCCTTTGACATACAGTGGAAGTTGGAGCAATGTTCTCCTTGACATCAGTAAGAACTGTACGTGAAGCTTGAGGGCATTATATGGCCCTCATCTTGTAAAACATGAAAATAACTGAGACAACTGTCAGAATCAGAACTTTTATTTGAATTTTAACATGTTCTAGCATGCCATGTCAAAAGGATTTCTTGTGGCGAAAGGCAGTGCAGCCATAAACACAAATACATAATCATATCATGCAGGTTCTTGGCTCTTGATTTGTTCCCACCATCTCTCACCATCCAGTTATGTTCAGTTGATTCAGCTTTTCTGTTTTGGGCAAATCTCCCCTGAGTGGTAAGGGATGTCACTTTTAAACATCTAGCTAAATATCCAATGAATATTTGCTAAGCAGTTTTTCCCTTCAGTTTTTTTTGTACTGGAATAAATGCAGTTCCTGAAATATAACTGGTAGTCCCCACTAGCGTAGATCCATTAACTCAATTGCTAAATGGGCAGTCAGTACTTATATAAATACCACAAATGAATGGGCCTACACTAGATTAGAGTAGGCTAGTGCTTTGATAATCCCGTTCAACAACAAAAAAGACTACTCAAATGGAATATGTTTCATTTCTTGTAAAGAACTATTTGCCTAATCTATGAAGCTTTCTTTACAGGCAGCATTCCGTTTGTGAGTGTGATGTATCCCAAAAAGTATCTAATAGCCTCAATTCAGCTAAAGATACTTATGAAAAAGATAGCAATTTTATATATACTAGCTTGGGAGCAAGACCCACTATGGCCATTGGGACGTCTGAATAAATATGGACAGGGTATTAGGTGTTAAATCTCATTGGAACTCATTGGATGAAGTCAGTCACGAGTGAAACTGGTCCAGGGGACCAGCACAAAACAAAGGAAGTGATGGAATATGCCAATAAGATTCTTTTCTCACTGCTGTGTCTCTGGCCTTTTACTTCACTGCATCCAACAAGCACATGGAAAGAAAAAATAATTGCTTCATGCCCTAGCTAATAGTCTACTAGCCAGATCCAGTGTATACGGTGCCAGGAGCTGGGAACTTAACCAGTCTGGTGTAGTGAACAGAATGACAAATTAGGACTCAAGAGCTGAATGGCTTTGGTAAAACTGCTCTTTAAATATCTCACCTTGAAAATTCTATTGGGGCTGCTATAACTTAGATCAGACTTAACAGCACATAACATACACACACACTGCACAGCACCTCTATAGGCACGTCAATGTTACTAAATTTAATCAGATTAGGACCAAACAACTTTCTGCAAAACACTCACTACAGTATACTGAGCAAGAGTAGGAGCCATTCTTATCATTTGCAGTGAAGAGGTGTTTATCTCCATTAAGCAGTCAACCAGGAAGCCATAGTAGTCCTACAGTATGAAATGGCTGGCAAACTCATATGCGCATCAAAAGCTAAAATGCAGATTGGATAAGATGAAGTACAGTAAGGTGGTAGCAAAGGGAATGGCTAGAGAGTGCAGGAGTGTAATGAAAGAAATTATTAAGGAAGAGATATATAGCTAACATTCCCCAGAGGGCTCTGCTTCTTTTCAAAGAGCAAAACATCTAATGTTATTAACTGTAATGCAGCCAAGCATTGAATATGTGTGCATGTGATTGAGTATATATGATTGTGATCAATAAAGTGGAGTAGTTGAAAACATACAATGAAAGCAGCTCTTCTCATTTTTAGCATCCTACAACAAACACTGTGTTTTTAGATATTTGTGATTCCAGTCATGAATTAGATTTACATCTGGCTCAACCAATACATTTTGTAGTCCAATAATGTAACTCATAAAGATAAGACAAGGATGATAGGAAGTGGTGACTTCTGGGAAAATGAATGGATCAAGGACTGTGAATAATTGGCAATAAGGCAGTGGATAAGCAAATGAGACAATGTATTTCTTCTTTCTCTTGTTCATATAAACAGGTGTCCTAAAGTTATTACAGAAAATAGCTGTACTAGTTACCATTTAAAGAAAGTGGCAACCCTCTCTAACAACTCCTTTTCTCTTTGTCAAGCAGACATTATTTTAAATTTCCGAACAACTTACGTCAGCAAGTCTGGCCAAGTAATATTTGAAGCAAGATCTATTTGTATCCACTACGTGACTACATGGTTCATCATTGATTTAATTGCTGCACTTCCTTTTGATCTACTTTACGCTTTTAACGTCAATGTTGTAAGTATAGCCTTAGTACTTTATTAGTAGAACTCATCTCAAGCTTTCTTTTGTGAATGAACTGAGAGCGGGGGGTGGTGGTGGTGGGTCAGGTGCATGTTTCCTTTCAAATGCAAGTTTCTGTATGTATGTATAATTTTTTGACCTGAAGTGCTCAAGACAGAATTGGGGGGAAAATGTAGTACAGTGGTGCCTCGCTTGACGATGTTAATTTGTTCCAGTGAAATTGCAGTGAAATTTCATCAAATGAAATTAAAAAACCTATTGAAACACATTAAAACCCAGTTAATGCATTCCAATGGGCTGAATAGCTGCTCATCTTGCGAACATCCTCCATACGGCGGCCATTTTCGGTGCCTGTAAAGAGAGGAATCCATCCTAGAAAAGAGCGGGGGACCATTTTGAAAGCCGGTGGCCATTTTGCAACCCGAGGATCAGCTGTTTGCTGATCGTCGTAAAGCAAAAGCGATCGCAAAAACATTGACGTAATGCGGATTCATTGCACAGCGGGGTAATTGTCCAGCGGGGCACGACTGTACTGAAAATGTAGTATATCAGACCAAAAGGAAGATATCCTCTAAATGAGTTCTAAGTGAGCAATTCCTTCTATTTTCTGGAACCGTACAAGAACGGTAATAATTGTTAGAAAATGTAGCATATCAGACCAAAAGGAAGATGTCCTCTAAATGAGTTCTGAGCAATTCCTTCTATTTTCAGGAACCGTACAAGAACGGTAATAATTGTTATAGGTGAAAATATTTTCCCAGATTTAGTTATGTTCATTAAAACAAACTAGAAATAGGTCATGGTACAAATAAGTTAGCTTCTTACATATACAGGCTGGAACCCTTTTAGTGTTCGTGTAAGGTTTTTGTGACTTGCCATGCCTTAATTGTAGTAATTGACAAAGTACTGGGGCATGTCTTTGTTGCATACCTTATCATACGCCCAATAGCACATCTGAGATGTGTCCTGAAACATTTAGATTGTAAGGTAAACAAGCTTTTAAGTAATATCCTGTGTTTTGCTAAAATGCAAGATGTTTTTCCAGTGCCCACATGATGTTGACTCAGCTCTGTAAACAGCATCATTTGAGGAAGATGATTTGAGCTTTTCCTGTGTACTGCACAAGTACTCTTCTGTTCCAAAAGATCTTCATGTACAATGTAACAAAGCCTATTCATTCAGAAAATCATTCTGTCTTTGGTCACACCATTAATGCTTTGCTCACAAAGGAAAAGCTTCAAGGAACCAGGATTTTACTTTAAAAAGAACATTTTCAGAAATATAGGCAAAAACCTTAGGAAGTGCTAAGGGTTTTTTTTATTGACAGCTTTAAACATATAGCAAATGTAAGAGTCATATTTTCTTATATTTTGTTGATTGTGTAAACAACTAGTGTAATATTTTCTTCATAATAATTTAACACAAAAAGTTTGCATGATTAAAATGAATGTGGTTGGTACTTTACATATATTTATGTTCAGTTTTCCCTTTGCTGTCTAAACAACCTGGACACATATATTTTATATAAGCTCTTAGTTTGTTGGAGGTTATGATTTTTTTGAAAATAATGCTGAATATGCACAGGTCCTACCAAATATATCCATCTTTATTCATATTTTGATTCAGTACAAATATGTGAGGGACTCTTGAAATGTATTCATAATATCATGAAATACCCAGAATTGTAGAATATCAGATCACTATAACCCTTCTCTGTTAAAAATAATATCAGTGTTTTCTATGTACAAGAAGAATCATATTTTTGGTATAAATCTGAGGTACTCAAAATGAAATAGAGGAAACAGGGCAGATGAGATGCATGTCCAAAAAAATAATGGATAATTAGAGTATCTTTAATAAGACAACATAGTGATAACGTTAAATAAAGATCAGTGAAAGATAACAAAATAAGTGATACCAGCTTCCCATTTAAATGACATTATACCCGCCTTCAAAAAACACAACATCAGCCTTCCCCATTTCAATCAGAGGTCTCAAAAGTAATTCATCACGAATAATTTCATTACCTGTAACTAATCCTTTTTGGGATAGCAAGTAATAAGTAGTTACAAATGAAAGTGAAAGTAATGTAACAATGACAATATTATTTGTTAGGTATAATGAATAATGTTTTCCACTTGCTATCAAAGGTTATTTTCAGGACATTTTAAGATATTTTAGAGGCATTTTGACAGGAAATTTTCAGGTTTCACACAATTCTTTCATCAATTCTGAGTGGCAAGAAAAGGACTCTTTAGTTTTATCTTTATTTTTGTTAGTTGGGTAGCAGGGCTGCAGAGACAGAGGTTGGGAGTTTGAATCCCCACTGTGAATCCCCGGAGAAAAGCCAGCCCGTTTTTATTCTTGGGCAAACTGCATAGTTTCAATGTGCCTTCAAAACTAGGAAATGATAAACCACTTCTGTGTACACTATACCTTTAAAAAAAATCCTGGAAAGGTTGTTGTAAATTGGAATTGAGCCGACAGCATGTAATTATTATTATTTTAAATATTTTCAAGGTGCAGAATCAGAATTGGCCACTAGACTGAACCAGAGAGTATATTCTTACCATACTAGTAAAGTTAGTGCATCACATTAGTAACTTACAGTGCAAATAGTTACTTCTGTTATTGCTGTAATAATCATGATGAGAACAACCTGGCTCTTGATAAATGAGTCATGTGACGATTTCCTTTAAAAAAAGCACCTCAGATCTGAAAATATCTCATATATCTGCCTCTTCTTTACATTCCTGTCAGATGAAATACACATTATGATGCTCTACAGCTGACAGGACTAAAGCAAGTGTAAATCTGTTTGAAAAGGTGGCTAAATATTCTTCTTCCTTCTTATTGTTTAGGTGTCCATTGTCCATCTTCTAAAAACTGTGCGACTGCTGCGTCTTTTACGTCTTCTTCAGAAGTTGGATCGTTATTCCCAGCACAGTACTATTGTTCTGACTCTACTTATGTCTATGTTTGCATTGCTAGCTCATTGGATGGCTTGCATTTGGTACGTTATTGGAAAGAAGGAAATGGACAAAAAACCCTACACTTGGGACATAGGTAAAGAAAGGGATTTTTATTCATATGTTGATATCATAATGTTGGGGGGGGGTTACGTGCAGTTGAGCTGGAATTGCTAGCCTTCTACTATCACCTTGTTTCCAAGCTGCAAAGTGTATTAGAACTTGGTTAATGGGGAAACATAAAGAAGTGACATGTGGCAGACATCAGCATTCACCATCTAGAAGACTTAAAAAAGAAAAGCCTGCACAGCGTAGACAGGGAGCCTTGCCCTTCTCTGAGTCAGCTTTGTGCAGACACCATAGGATGATAATGCAAATTAGAGTGAGGGCAAAACTTACTGCTTCATAGATTTCAGTTTGCAGCTGTTTAAATAGCTAATAGCAAAGCAAAAGCAAAGTGTGCTGCTTATATACTGCCCCATAGCACTTCAAGCACTCTCTGGGCGGTTTACAATATAATTATGCAGGCTACACATTGCCCCCCCCCAGTGAGCTGGGTACTCATTTTACCGACCTCGGAAGGATAGAAGGCTAAGTCAACCTTGAGCCGGCTACCAGGAGTGAAATTCAGGGTTTCTTCTAGGTCAGTGGAACCTGTGTGGCTGAAACCCAAACCATAAAAGGCTGATTCAAACTAGCGTATTTTTCACACCATAAGACACACTTTTTCCCCCACAAAACAGGGGGGTGGAAAGTCTGTGCGTCTTATGGGGCGAAGAAAACAGATATTTTTCCTGTTTTCTTCTCCTAAAAATTGGTGTGTCTTATGGTGCAAAAAATACGGTACTTTGCATCAAGTCTGAAGCAGTTTAAATTAGTCTAAATTGGGTCCAAAGTGGAACCAAGTCTGGCCAAATTGCTTCAGACCAATTTGACAATTCAAACACTAAAAGAAAATCAAACAGAGTATCTCTAAAGCAGGCTTGTCCAACTCGCGGCCCGAGGACTGCCTGCAGCCCAGGTCTGCTCGTAATGTGCCCCAGTGCAATTTTTTTATTTTTAAAGAAATTCCAAATTTTCAAGATACACTGCCGGCGCCTGCGGCCGGAATGTGGCCGGGGCATGTCACAACAGGAGAGGGGGAGAGAGGGAAGGAAGGAAGGAGAGGTAGGGGAGGGGACAGGGGGGCTGCATGACTGCATTGCGCCGTCCCCGTCAATAGGTGGAACCCCTTCCGCCCATAAAGCTGCCGGAGTTAAAGCTGGCAGCCTCTGCTGTCTGAGATTGCAGCTGCCGGTAAGCGCGCTTGGAGCGGGGCTGCGGAGGACGGCTAGGGCTGCCCCCCCATTCGTCCCAAACCAAATGTATGTGTGGCCCAAACCAAATTTTCATCTTCTAATGTGGCCCAGGGAAGGTGAAAGGCCCCTGCTCTAAAGTGTTGCAAAACATTGCCATATAAGGAAAATGCTTAGGTAACGCAATAGGGAAGGAGAAGAGACGAGGTAAACAAGAATCTCACCAGCACTTTCCAGCCATAGTTGTTCTAGCATGGGATTCTGTGATGTCACTGAGGTTATACATAGGGATGGGACTTCCATCTTTAATCCATAGGGATGGGACTTCCACCCCATTATTTGACAGGAACTTTCCAGGCTGAATTACGAATGTGAAAGCCCCACAGCAGCATCAGATAGTGTAAAACAACCCTTCTACCTGCATTTGTTCCCCGGACATTCCTCTCGTCAGTAGGGAGAAAAGTACCCCACTTGACAATGAGATTCCCTAGACCTATCAAGCCCCATTTGGGGGGGGGAGGTTCTGAGAGTATAGAGGTAGCCTCTGTTGGAACTTGCCCTCCTATGGAGCTTTTCATGGGGCTTTTTCCCCAGCTAACTAGACGAATTGTGAGGGATTTGAATGCCCGAGAGTGGGGGCTTTCACACTCGTAATTTGGCCTGGAGAGTTTCCACCAAATTATGGGAGTCAAAGACCATTAAATACAGAAGTCCCATCCTTCACATTCAACTCTGATGCAATTTTCTCTTCTTTTGTTTTAATTTAGCTGTTAGCAGGAGATCATGGAAAAAAGATGCAGTGAGTGTTTTTTGGGTGGTTGTTGGGTATCTTGCTTAGTCTAAATCTCTTTCTCTTAATTTCCAAAACTTTGTCTTCTTAGCTAGAATAGCCTAAACTAGTTTTTATTTTTCTCCTTATTGATAATTTTTATTTCAACAGTAATGTGTTTATTGTGTGTGAATGTTAAGTAGTAAGACCCAGTTGCCCTCCCAACTTCTAATCTGTAGTGGGGAAGATTTTTAGCAGTGCTCTATGATCACAGTTTTAGAAACAATTTTGCTGGGGTTTGGTGGCCATTTTGTGTTTACTGTAACTCATATTACTTTTCCTATCATTCTTCAACCCTCCATTCCTAATTACTGTATTTTCTAATCTAGTCCCATTCCTCTTTACTCTTTATACTTGTTGGTAATTTGAGTGAGTTTGCTTATTGGTTTCAGCATTATTTTAGCAATATTTGTATTGCTTCTCGCCTTTTGGCTAAGATCAAGTGTAGTGCGTAGTATTAGGCAATTTCTCTAATTCCTTTTCACTCCCTCTATACACATTTTGGTCCTAGTTATTTAATTAGTTACATTTGATGTTGATTTCAATCTAACTTATTGTGTCTGTCTTAACAGACCTCACAAAGGTAGTCTTAGCACATAAACTCCAACAATGCAGAAAAGCAGCACACATATTAGCAAATGTTAGGCATATTAAGGCATATTTTAAAGGTAGAAAGCTTTAAAACCTTGGATTTGCCAGTGTGAAAAAGGTCAGTAATCCATCTAAAATGCCCCCAATTCCATGTATGTGTTTGGGGGGGGAAAGTTAAGGTTGTTTTTAGGGAAAACATTAAAATTGGCTAGCACAAAACCTACTGGACATATTTGTCTAGAATTTGTTTGGAATAATTTTCTGAGTGTTTTCCTGTTTTCATATTCCATGCAGAAACAAAAAGGTTACAAGCATTTTCATATCCAAATGCTAGACAAAGAGGTGTATCCAGATTCAGATTTCTGATTTTTTATTCAGATTTTGGTCTGAATTGGGTTGGATCTGAATCTGTCTGAACCAAATCAGACCCAAAACCACATTAACTTTGAACTGAAAGCAAAACAGGAGATTCTTGTACAGTTCTTACCTTCGTCCTTACTCTGTCCTTCTCATCATTGCAATTTTTCAGGGATCAGCAATGAGAACTTGATTCTGTTTTAGTGTCCAATGCTTTTTTCCTCTGAGCATTGCCTTCTGGAACCTGGAAAAAAAGCCCAAAGTGAAACATGGCACATCCTCTGATCATATTTAGACGTTTGACCTGTACAGAGAAAAGCCCTAGGATTCATTACATTTCATCTTGTTACCTGTGAAATTGTAGCTACGTATTACGATTTTTAAAAATAGGTGTCCGGACCAATTCTACATCTCCCACTTTCTGAACTGTTCACCTCCTTTGGGAAAACTGGAATTAATTTTAAGCTGGTGGAGCTTTCGGTAAACTTATTACATCTCTTCAACACCACTTTTAGTGATATATCTCCTACATTATACACTCATTTGATTAATGGGTTTAGAGAAGATCATCATAAAATCTTTTATAGTTTGAAGTGATCTATGGTGAGAGTGCGTGCCTCTTAGCAGTATAATCTAAATATCATACTGATCTGTACAGGTGATAAGTAGATTGTTCAGAAAATGTTTTCCATGTACTTGAACTTCATGATCTTTGAAAGCTGGGCAACCATGGATGGTGGGTTAAGAGGAGGCCAAAAGGTCAAGTTATATGTTCCTTTTGATCACCAAAGCTGTCAGAAATAATCTATGCAATAGTCTTGAACAAATCTCCCACCTGTCAGTTATAATTAAATCACAAGCTTTAAAAAGCAGTTTCCTAAAAGCTTATCCAAAGCAGCACTTGGTAGGTAGTAATTAGTGGATATGGTATGTCATAAGCATTATTATTAATTCCATTTACATAGGAGGTACTTATCTTCTGTTTTCCTCTACAGTTGAAATGGTTGCACTTTGTATTTATTTATCAGATCATTTCTGTTCTCCTTTATGGTTTGTTTTCATTCGTGGTGTAAAATAGTAGTATTGTATTTGGCACCTTCAGCATAATTGAATAAGTAAGCTCAGGGCTTAAGAGGTACTGGACTTTGGTCCTGTGCTACACAGTTAATTACAGATCCGTACACCATTATCTGGAGGTTAATTGCCAATGAATTCATTGGGACTAATTTCTGAATACAAGTGCTTGTTTGTTGCATTTGTTATATTTGTTCAATCAAGACCCTCAAGACAGACTCTAAGCTAAAACGTTTAGCTAAAACATTAGGAAGAACAACCTTCAGAACACCGCCCAAGAGCCCGGAAAACCCACAACAACCAGTAGATCCCGGCCGTAAAAGCCTTCACAAATACATCTAAGCTAAAACTTTCTCCATAATCATCACCATTACATACCTCTTATCCTGTAAATACTGACAGAAAGATTTTAATGGTTGGAAACTTTTATAGGATAATACTTGTAGAATTTGAAGCATTCATCATTCCCTTCATTAATTTTTCTGTGGCCCCCAGTAATTCACAACAGCAGCTCTGAGGATGCAATTTGAATATATCCTTCAGGGCATAAACATGTATAGCTAGGTTAAAAGTTCCAGACCCACAGCCACCCCACCACTGAAACAAAATGACATTGTGAGGTATAGCTAGCAAAGCCAGAGATACTAGGCCAACTAGTAGCTTTACATATGGAATTATACAATCTGGAAGGTCAGGGGTGATTTCAGTTCCATATGCTTCTGAAATAGTGTCCACCTGAATTCCCTCAGTCTCTTTCTCTCCCACTTCAGATGTATATGTACTTGAAGAAGAATTCCCACCACTGACAAATCTGCTTTGCTCAGATTTGCTGGGAATGGGGGCTGGGGGTGAACCCTTCCTTGAATATGATGGAGCTATGATGGATTAATCTCTTCATAAATCTCTTTTCCAACCACAAAAGCACCAGCAGTACTGCTGACAGTTTTGCCC